ATGTCTACTTTGATTTATGCTGTTTGGGGGTTCCGTTCCCTCTTCTTTTTGCATTTCAGTCCCCTTGTGTTGCTTAGTCTTGCTTCTACTGAAAATGCAATATCCTGTTCATCAATGAAGTCAAAGGCTGGACGAAGTAATCTGAAAAATAATACAGTAATAATGTCCAGTAACTTAATGGATGTTCGCTTTAATATCAAACATATGGTTACGGTCGACTAAGCCTATGAAAACCGCCTGTTAGCTTAGGCAGAGAATCGGGTGAAGCTGCCTTTTAAATTGAGTCACAGTTACAGGTAAAAAACCATGAGAATTAGGAAGGTGTTTAGAACGGAGAAGCTGAAAATTAATGAACTTAGGCCAAAATGTCTTAAGACATCCTGGAGGCAAATGAGGGTGAAATTTTGAAGCATTCTGTAGGAAATGCTTTTAATGACGTGTGCGACAAGTCCCTAAAATATGTGGAAGCACCGATTTAATATTAGTGTTAAATATTCAAACCTTGTTCCTTCCTCTAAGTACAGTAGGTCTCTATGATGATTTCAGAATAATGAAAGTTCACCTTGCTTTTCCGATCCTGATCATCTTTGACCACCTTATTCCCTCTACCGCCTCTTGAGGAAACAAAGCTGCCCAGACAAGTGAAAGGCAACTATTCATACAATGAAAAATAATTCGTTAAGAAATTCTCTGAAATTCGGAATATTGCCCTAATATTCAGCAACACACTCATCGAAAAAACTTCATAACCACTTTCACGTTAACCGTAACTTCAACTTTATGCAGATGAATATGGCAAAGTTAAACTTTCGACACCACTAGCAACCAATCAGCAAACGACCTTCAACGGACCAATCACATTAAATAGGCATATATGATGTATGGAAACGCGTATTTATAAAAAAGCATAAAGAAGGATAAAACGGTTACAAGGAGTATCTTTCTCGAATATGTGAGAGAAACATCCCCAGTTTAGCATGTGACTGTCAATGGCGAAGTCACAGCACATCCTGTACTTATATTCATCTGAACGGCTGCAAATGAGATCCTCTTCAGATCCATTTATAGCCCTTATCTTGTTTTTCAAGCGGCCCCGTAAACCTTCAGTGGAATTCGTATGAGTCCTCGTAACGGGATCCACACAGCAAACAAGTGATTGTCTCTATTTTACATGAAGCTATATCTCTGCAATGCTGGTACCACTGAACTGTTGAGACAAGACTATTCTCAGTCTCGGCAGCTGCTGCTCTCACCGGCTGTTTCAACACCCAGTAGTTGCAGATATACAAAATCTGGGTTAGGGAGAGATGCGACCTAGCGGAAAAATTTCCCACGAAATATTAAAATTATCAGCTTGCCCTCTCTAATGCTAACACGCTTCAAACATGTAACACAACGATGAACAAATCCATCAGTTGATCTGCTATAGCTTTTAAAATCATGATACCACCCACCACACGAACAAGTTCGCTCCTTCCGGAGCAACCCTAAATCCAGGCAATACTGGAAAACACTGTCCTCCTCGAATTGCAACCGTAAACTTTTAAGGCCACGCATTAGAAATGAATCAAGCGCTCTACAACATTGAACTACGTTCGTGAATTTCATTGGATAATTCGCTGATTGGTAGTTAGTGGTGTCGAAAGTTTAACTTCGCCATGAATATATTAACTAGCGATACGAGTACGGAACTAAAGCTCTTCAATATTTGACAAGAAGACAGGATGGCAAAAGATTTTCTAGGTTGTTCATCATACCTCACTTAAAAAATACAGCGAAAGAGGGAGATTAGCCTCAAAAAGTTTGTGAGACGGCCGATGTGGGAAACATAATAGGGAGGAAAATTACCACAAGTGACAGCTGATTTGTGTTAGAAAAATCTATGAAACGTGTTCTGATATATCTGGTTTCCACCTCACAAATAAGAATAAATAATAAGTTGAGTTACAACAAAGTATTTCCTATGGATAAATCAAATAGAGTGATTTTGTTTAATCTAATAAAATCATTTAGTCTGCTTACGACCCAGCGGTATTTTGTGCTGTGACGCTACTGTTAATGAGTTGTTGTGGCTGTATTGTAAGTTGATACATTGAACTCACTGTAATGCCTGTAATTGTGTGGGATTTCACCACAGTTTTTTGCTCAATGGGTGCGCACTAGTTAAAGGAGTGGCTGCAATGAACTGAATTTATTTGTAAAAGCGCCAGGACAGTAAAAGATTTCATCTTAAATATTGTACTCGGAAGCTGGATATCGACGTAAAACTTTTGTATTTACGATGAATACAAAGCGCACCTAATTTTGGTTATTTATATTAGTCAGTTTTCTATAACAACCAGTAGGGCATGTATTTCTGATCTTTAAAAATGTATACATCGGCGAATATTAAAAGCCCGATAAAAACATCAGGCTGAGAATACAAGTATTCTTTCAATTTAACCATTCAAAAACTAGTCACTGAACAATAAGTCAGTCATATCCAGAAAGTTTTGAACTCCACCAAAAATAATGATTAAGTGAGAAACTACTCGAACCTACACACTGTTAGTTGCTCCAGTGTCTCGAACACGAGTTCATGATTACAGCGCTGAACTTCATGAGTCAAAGGTGTGAAAGGAAACAGATTCCACAATATTTCAGAGGTGCTTTGTCAAATTGTTCTCAAATAGTTACAACATAGATTTCACAAGAGTGGTTGTCATCACGAAGATGAGTATTATTTTTATTCAGCAACCCATATTTCAGACCAAAAAACCATAGTCCCAACAGTATTAAGAACATAGCTGAATTAAGTGTAGCTCGACCAGCTGTGGATAAAACATCCTAATTAGTTTAAGTGCCCACTTTACAGGGATTCAAAGCTCGCATACAATAAACATGACTTGAATAGCTGTTCGTAAGTCCAAATCTCCATACAAAGTCGTCATATATTACAGTTAATCATCGAGTATATGTGCAATGGTGAATGAACTCACAAGTAAGGGACAAAGTATTTGGTCCAAAGAAAGTGATAATTGAAGTTTTGGATTTTCAGTAGAGAATCAACATATTTTCTCCCGCTTAGTTTAAAGCAAGCTATATTAGAGTTATCCGATGGAAGTCTTGTATAAACTGAATAACGAAACCTGAGATTGTTCCATTTTCTGTCTTTATGAGACATCTGCTAAATGTAATGCCTGGCGTTTCAGTGTAAAAATGTATGTAACTGTTGCAATGTGTAGCTTAAAACAGTCTTCCCTGAAATATTTTTGTTCCGCAAATTCTATTGGTTTAGATATATATTCACTGTTTGGTACCTTACGGATTCTGGAAATTTACATTATTCTTACTTTCATATGTTTCATTCAGTTGTGATTGCATTACTCATCATTCTTCTATTTCCAAATACTTCTACAAAATGTTGCTACTTAAACTAATATTTTGTGCGAAGCTCCACATGTACTCTTTATTTTGCCGCTATGAAAAGAACTCCGGTGGGATCAATGCTGTGATTGTCTCAGAATGATTTGACAAAGCACCTCTGAAATATTGTGGAATCTGTTTCCTTTCACACCTTTGACTCATGAAGTTCAGCGCTGTAATCATGAACTCGTGTTCGAGACACTGGAGCAACTAACAGTGTGTAGGTTCGAGTAGTTTCTCACTTAATCATTATTTTTGGTGGAGTTCAAAACTTTCTGGATATGACTGACTTATTGTTCAGTGACTAGTTTTTGAATGGTTAAATTGAAAGAATACTTGTATTCTCAGCCTGATGTTAAGTTTCAAGTGACTTTATAGATATAGACCTTGCGGTAAATTTGTTTTTGTCAGTTTCAGTGGTCTAAACATCCTGGTTTGACTTCATCAGTTTTGCTTCGTGTTTCAATTATGATCGAATCAAAGTTTTGCAGTAACATAATAATGAAACATCCGGAAAATTTCAAAATAATATTGGTAGACTTCTACGATGCATAAGCACTAATGAATGCTTAATTGACATAGTAACAATTTTCCACTTTTCAAATGATGAATTTTGTAACCATTTGATTTAAGGATGCGTTTTAAGGTTTTTAAGTCTACACTTTAATCTCGGTGACCAATTTTCAAACATTTGACTTTACATTTTAAATCGAACATATGTAGCATGAGATTTGAACATCCAACTAGTATTCTTAGTTTAGTCAAAACGGATTCGCTTAGTGTTTGTTCAATGCATAGAAGTGCACATTATTGCTGAGTTGCATTGAATAGAATTAATAGTTCTTACTCACTTTATTTTTCAAATATAAAACAAATTTATAGAAACTACTTTCTCATCGGTTTAGAGCCACCTCATTGTGTTAAATAATATAGTTCGCTCAGAGGGTTAAGATTTTTAAAATTAAACTAGTTTCTGGAAGCAAGACGTGTTCGTGAAGACCAGCAGTCAGTGTGTTACTATCCCTTTCGTTTCTAGTAATAGAATCGTAGTCAGCTTGTTGATTGCACTTACTAGATCAAAGAAATAAGAACTGTATCTTATTTTATCAGTTCTAAAGAGAAGGTACAGTCATTAGTGGTATTTACAGATCTATACCGTGAGTTCTACAGCAGTTGCTCAGATTCTGTACCCAGCTGGTATTATCAGTTCTTATTCTAATACTGTGACTCACAAAAGTGTGCACAAAGTTTCACATAGCTGCTAGGTCACATTCATGCAAATGACGAACTACTGCTGTGTGCCTTACTACATATCGGATATATAACAGCATAAGAGGGTTCTGCTTCTACATAACACTGATCACATGTTACAGATTTGCGTTTGCAGCATTTTTAAGCTTTAATAGGAAGTAGTAAGCAAGAAAAGTGGTCATTTAGTAAGGTTGTGGACCTACAAAACGTCTACTACCTAGAAAATGTTTTGTGTCCTTTGCTACCTCTGTCTCGATGAGCACTGTTAGTTGGGGGTGGGTGGGTGTAGAACTAGATTTCCAGGAAGTTAGCGGTAGTCAAATCAAGATGTGAAAGTTACCCTTGTCGGCTGTGACTACTCTCTTGGGTTGTGTAATGTCACTTTGGTATTTAAGGTCTTCGAGACACTTGGTGAACTGCATTGATAGATAAAGATTTCCTAAAGGGGAAATGATGTCTTTAAGAATTCCACCATCTTATTGGTTCAATTATTTGTATTTCTCCTCACATGGTTATTAGCAATTTCAATGTTTATTTCCTACATCTATTGAATTTCTACGTGTCATTCTGAATTATAGTAAGTAGCTTACATCAGTTTCCTGCTATTTAAATCTTCAGGTTGTTCTCAGTGTGTTTGTTCTGGTGTTATATAAAATTAACTAGATAGTCACACACACACTCACACACTGTAGTGTGTACTCTTTTAAATGTGTTTTTATTTTTTTTACTTACGAAAGAAACCACTACCATATACAGTTGTGTCTTATCAGTGTTTTATTGTTATGTTTGTGATTTTTACAGCTTCCATAGATAGATTCCATGAAGAGAATGAATCATTACAATGAATATGATGAACGCAATGAATTGTCAATAATTATACGTGAACAAGATAAACAGCGTAATAACGGAGTGAGTAAACCAATGATGATGATAACATTTGCCTGTTCTGTTTTCTTTTTACATAATTTTCTGTTTCCTTCAATGAATAATGCAACACAGACTATAAAAACAAATTGTTAGTCAGAGTAGTATACCGAATAACTTACTGCACACGAATTGTATCTGATCACATGTTTGCAAAGGATGTGTGGTGTTCCTGCACACCATTGCTTACTCTATTTAAACAAGATAAGAACTTTACTTCCTTTTGTACTATTCGTTTGAGAAATTTATACAACAGCTAGCACACAGTATTTCATTATTGGAAGATGCCTTTTAGGTGTTAAGTGTTGAGAAATGAAGTGTTTTGAATACCAATAGTGATATTTGTAAGCAAACACATACTTAAGCCGGTATAAACCACAGGATGATGCCAGTAGTTAGGTTCTAATTGCATCAACCACTGGTGCTTATCAGTCAAAATGAAGTTGTTGAGTAAACGCTAGAGGGTGGTTTCAGTCATTTACAGACTAGCCTAACAGTTGTATGCCTACTAGATCTCAGGTGAGACAGCTGTATCAGATCAAACCAACTGAATTCTGGCCCAATACTCCATTAAGCTGATGAGAACAATATTTTACCCTATAATGGAATTATACATCACCATAGTGGTCAAGTCCTATCCTTATATCCATCCATCTCCGTTTTCTTCAGTGTATTTGTTGGGTAGCAGATTCTTGGTTGGTTTTTTTTGTCAGAATTTAATATCCAGGTCACTTGAATTTGTTGAAATATCATAGAATTTTGGATCCAACGACAGGGCTTGCAATTGAACAGGAGTCAATGATATACTAGAGTAGTTGAAAACGTATTTCTCTGGTGTGGCAGGAAAAAGTGAATAAGTGTCAGCGGCTTTGAGGCTATTAGCGATTTTCAGGTTTACACCTTCACAGCGTCTTCTTGAATTCCTTTATTCTCACTCAATAGCAAGTTTAACCTTATCGAATTTCTGTCTTTGTGCCTTTGAGTATCACGTAATTTACAACTTTTAATTTTCACTTCTAAAGCCAATTCTGACTAATTATGTCAATTATGTCATCTCCCTATTACTCAATAATAGACCACTATATATTTTTTGTAAGTATAAATACGACTGTACAGTCTCTGAAGATGATTTCGTCAATAAAGAAAATTTCCTTCGCTGAATTTACCCCTGTTTGAAATGCTGTTGGTGACTCACTAAACCTCTGAATCGTGTGGAGAGTCACTGACTTGACATTAGTGTTAAATTCTAATCTTGCTTTTTATGATGGATACAGTAGATTTTCAGACTAATTTTAAAATAATAAGGAGCTGTCTTAACTTTCCGATTCTGTCCGGCTTTAACACACCAGTCGGTGTCGCTGCCTATGGTTGAAACGATGCTACCTTGCAGGGACGAGTGAAAGAAGTGGCTTCCTTCGAATTTCTCCAGTTGATAGTGATTGATGTTTCTTGTCGTTGTTGTTATTGGTCGGTTATTTTCATCTCACTTCTGTCTTCTCTTTGTTCACTTAAAGTCCTGTTTTCACTTCAACCCCAGTGAATACATTTTATAATCTGCATAAATGTTGCTTCTAAACTTTCATAAATGCCATGAATATACCATTTCACTATAAATAAAACTGCTGTTCAGTCATACAGGAAATTAACTATCCCTAGTCACTTGATATATTGTTCTTGAAAATATCTTCTTGTGAACACTATAAAATAAGATAAATTAACAAATGACAGACGTAGTAAAAAGTTCTACCTTCCTATAGTGTATATTATGTGGTTTCCTTTTCTCTAGTTATTATTATTATTTATTTTATCAAAAGTCATCTTTCTGGTTGTCATGCAAAACTTCCACTTAGTCATTATTCCTATTAATTAAAGTTTTGTATGTTAATAGTACTCAATTACCTGGAGTAGATTATTCATTTACGAGGCTATGAGATACACATACTTTGTGTGAAAGCTGATGTTACAATATCCAGTGACCTAGCTCACCCCTCTAGGCTGAAATAAGTGCAGTTGGATTTGAACCCAAGATCAGTTGGCTGGAAGTTGAGTGCTTAAGCCACATCCCCATATTTCACTGAAGCGATGAAAAAGTGGAATACCCCTGTTTCAACCTTTTCAGTCATAGATTATACTTTGTGTATAGTATAAATATAATAATATAAAAGTTTTATGATATTTAGTTGATGGTGGCTTGTAGTGAAGTCCAGGATGCACACTTCGTTCTAATTTGGGACCCCAATAGCTGTATGTACCTGCAACCTCAGTGTGTGATGGAATTCTCACTGAAGCTTAAACGCAACCAACACCCATCGTTTTAAACGCCAAAACGTCATCTACTGGGAATTTTTGTTTGTTTGCCGGTGACGAAAATTGATGTCACTTAATTTGAAGACCGCGTAAATTAACGTAGAAGAAATAAAGCCATGTGAATGACTTCTATAGAACGATGGAGTGGTGCAGACATATTGACTCCAGAGTGGCTATCAAGTTCTAGACCAGCATTTAAAACAAATAATGATAATAATTTTTTAAAATTTGTTTTCCCGAATGGATCAAAAATAAAACGATGTTTCGTTTTTAGTGAGGTCTCGTTATTTGTTAAATTAAATAGTAAACCAGAATTTACAAAATCTCATCTTATATTTATACATTAACTCGGTCATAGTTTTTCTCCGTATGACGTAATTCTGTGTAGTCAAGTGAAAAAATTGATAAATTTAACAGTCACGTGCAGATTGTTAAATTATTGTGTGAATTATTAAAAAAAACATTTGTTTACATAATGAATAGTGCCTGTCATATTTGTATCGATTAATCATAATAGTTTATGGGGGGGGATGTTGGATTCAGATGGAATTCTAACTTAATTCATCACATTCTTACTCAGATCATTTGGATTCCAATTTTCAGTGGAATGTTGTTTCTCCTACAAGATATTATTTATGACTTCTGAAATTTTTCCGAATGATTTCAGTATATTGTCGAAGTCAGTTTTGTCGCCGAATTCGATAGCGTACAAATCTGTGGCTTTTCTAGTTTTACTGAGTTTCTCAGTGATCTTATAGTGGCTATACAGTGTTTCTTTTCTGCTAACCGTGACTGCTTGAAAAATTTGTCCCATATTGCATTGTTACATCACAGTATGAGCAATTTATTTATATTATTGACAGCAGCCATTGATATCAGCTAGAGAATCACTGAAAGCCAGGAAGTACTGGACAACCGGCTGATTCGTCCTAGACTGGGAGTCATTGGCAGTACGCACCCACCGCCAGTGTTCAAACCCAGGACCTTCCGGTTACAAGGAAAGCTCATAGGCTATTCAGCCACTGAGACACGACTCAATGACCAGCCTATGAATTCTAACTTCTACCAGTGTGTGATTTTAACGGGACCAAAAACCACTGTCATCGCTGAGTACTTGCCCTCACTCCCGACCAAGTGGACCCTACTGATCACGACTACTCACTAGAACTCCAATCAGTTTCGTCTTGTAGACCAATGACTCGGGTCCCAGTGGCTGAATGGTCTACGAGCTCGTCTTTTAACTTGGATTTCCTTGGTTCAAATCCAAGTAGGTGCGTGCTGCCGAAGAGTTCCGATCTGGGATGAAACAGATAGTTTTCCAGTTCTCAATGGTTCTCTAACTGACATTGATCCGTGATCAAGCCTAAGAAAAATCGAATCCCTACAAACAAACTCTTGAATATCTTGTTCTGTTCGTTTGTAAGTCGGAATTCTCAGCCTGTAATTTTTTGAAAAACAGTTCACACTTTGTTACAGCAACATTTTCAAATAAAGATAATGATAGATATATTTAATTATACACTTTAAGTTAACATAATCTCATTATTACGGAAATGAAAAGCAGAGTTTAGAAAAAATGCAAAATAAAAATCGTTTACTTTTTATAGTAAAGGTGGTAATTTCACTAGTTCTTTTCTTCACATCATATGTGAGGTGAATAGTCTAATGGATTTTAAGTTTTCTTGCGCGGTGTTTATCAGTAAAAATTCCATTGTACTTCTTGTAACTGTTGAAGACAAATACTGAGGTGTTCATCAATGAGTGAGGTGCTTTATAACCTGATAAAATAACTACAGTTAATTGGTTAAGCGCGTTAGGCTGGCTATCTACAGTTGTGTCCATCACATAAATGACTGACTGACTGAGCTTCAACGTAGAAATTTGCACAGAAATGCAGCATTTCAAGTTGCCACACTCCATCTATCTAGCACACAAAAGTGGAAAAAAGAGAGAAGTATAATAGGTAGAAGTGTACGCGAGAAAGCATAACAACATAGGAAAAGACTAGGGATTAATAGATATGGTACAGCATAGAAAGTGAAGGCATCTGCACCACTGAGAATCATTTTGAGCCATATCATCAATAATCTCTAGCTGTTAGTTCTTAGAATCCCGAGGATCCATACCTCATAGTCTACACCTCTCTAGGTGGCTACTACTCCAAACCAACTGTCAAAGACTTCATGGATTGATTCCAGGCTTTAGTTTGAGCACCCTTAACTGCTTTTTAACCTGACTCTATGTGAGCTACGGTCGCTCAATAGATACCTGCTATCTTGTTGTTGTGGTAGTTGAGTTTGCATATCGTGATGAACCTATGAGCTGTACTGGCTAGAATTAAGTTCCCATCACCAGCTTTCCTAATATCCTTCAAAATCCTAAGCAATATAGCATAGTCTTCATACATGACTCCAGAAGAGAATAAGGAATACGAAAACAAACATGGATTAATAAAAATGTCAAACACGGTGATTAAACGTCATTCGAGGAATTCACCATGACCAGTCATTCATTTAAATACTTATTAGATACAGTCTTAAAGTTAGCCGAGTAATTCAATGAAATGCCTGCATTCTATCTCCCATGTGAAGTGGTATAATAGAGTGAGCAATATTGAGGTGAGCGTCAAGTGCTAGGTAAGGAGGGGATATCAATCGACGAGGCTGTGAAATTATATCGACTAAAATGGTTAGGACATGTCTTACGCATGCCTAGGCTACCCATCGCCTTCCTCGACAATAGACAATGTTAGCTGACATAGGGTCAGGTTGGAAAAGAGCTGGCCAGTGGCGGTCAAACCAAAACATGGCACCAGTCAATGAAATCCACAAAAGTTAGTTTAAGCCAGCCATGTAGGGATGTGTAGACTTCCTGGTTGGGGTCCTCGGGACAGTAAGAACCAATGAAGGCTGGAAACAATTGGTGATATGGCTCAAAATCGTTCTCGATGGCAGGTGCAGATGCATCCACTCCTTGTGATTTATGATTTCCAATGAAACTGTTTTGTTCTTCGTTATTAATATTCCTTTGTCTCACACCTCTGTTTACTGTCTCTATTATGCATTTCTTCTCTGGCTTTGTGTGGTACATGGAGTGTGACGACTCGAACTCCCGCACATCGGTGCAAAGTTCTATGTCAAAAACAAACAGACAGGCAAATATCAAAATATTTAGTAACTCGTTATTTAGATATCTTATTGATGTTAAGAAGTCAGATGAAGCATTCAGTAGTCTTTATGAAGTAATGTTCTAAAAGTTGACGCTGGTCAAGTAATGAACAGATGTGAAAAAAGAAGTTTACTTATTCATGCAAACAGTAAATGAAACACTTGTTTGGTACCACCCCGTTATCAGTGGTATCGTAAACGTGGCTTCTGTTCCCCTCCGAACTCATCAGCTACTTATTTCAATATCCTAGTGAGTAGAATGTTATTCAATGGGAAGTCTTATCTCCGACAGGTAATGTGATAAAATTATCGAAGATAAAACAATCATACATTTATGCATAATTGACTAGATAAAGTCTTATCCTTCGGTCTGTACGACTGTCTCATTTGTCTTGTTTCTGTCTATTTATAACTGACTTATACTTGTAGAATGATGGTATACAACTTGACATGGAACATTATACTGTCAGCAGTCAAGATTCGACAGTTAATGACCAAGAAATGGACGATGAAATTGTCATCAAAAATTTAAATTTATTAAAGTCTACAGAGACTTTTAGGTCTAATAATAATAATACTGAAGACGAAACTCTCTCTACGGTCAACACGAATGATGGTGATGATGAATATGATACATTGGATGAATTATTTGATATTGCAAAGCTGCTATCAGATTCATTAGATAATCGACAGCTAACATCTACAGAGAAAGAACAACTAATGTTAGACTCCACTGATGGACAACAGTGTGTGGAAGATGTTAACAGTCAAAGGGTGGAGGATCTACAAACATCTACAATATCTGATACTAACAGAAGAGATGACGATAATAATGACAATCAGGAGTTGTATCCAACTGAGGATAATTTAATATCAAGTCGTAATGTGGAAATAAAACAAGTTGTCATTGGTTACCCTGATCGAATGTCAATTGTTATCGAAGAGAGTGATATTGATAATGATGAAGATTATGCATCAGAGACATCGGTTAGTCAAACCACCGTCATTAATAGTAACAATTGGGGTAATACTGAAAAAATACTTAGTGGAATGAGGACACCCGACCAACAACAAAACACCACCTATGAAGAAGACTCATCGTCAGGCGATATGATGAAATTTATTAATAATCTCAATGAAGTAATTCTTCATGTGTGTGTGTTTGTGTGTACGCATATCATCGTTGTTGTCACTTTTGCTGGTGTATGGGTGTGTGTGTGTGTGTGTAATCATATCTCGATACTTGCTTTCCTATTTCCTCCGATCATGTTGTCTAATTTGTACTTTGCTCGCCTTCATCTCACTGTAATCATCCATAAATCGATTGCATGATAGATAACAAGGTGTTTACGTCATTTGTTGTTATTGTTGATCTTGTTGTTCAACCAGCTGTTATGATTATAAATAGTCCGATATACTTTTCATTCCCTCCTCTATGTTTCTTTTCCAGCCTACACGACCGCGGTCACAATCACCTTCTAGTAAGTACAACTTTTTTTTTAGCGAATTACGCTGGTAATAATAATAATAATAACTTCAGCATATATTTAGTCACGAATCAACATCAGTTAGAGAGGCTACTGAAAACCACAGAGCACTGTACAAGCTGTTTCTTCCCAGTTTTGTGCTCTTCAGCAGTGAGAATCTCTACATCGAAATTATTTCTAATCCCTACAAAACATCCACAAGATAAATAACCAATCTCCAGCTCATTGATGACTGCTGGATGGATGTCCTAAAGCTGTACCGAGGAATGCTGACCAGTGGAGTTCACCTTGTAAAGGTGAAGTGGATGTTACTCCAAGGCTTTAGTTGAGGATAGCGCTATATCACGAAGGGAGTAAGTTAGAATTCAAGGGTTATTAAATTCTTGACCAAGTGGCTGAGAATGGTCAGTGAGTTCTGTCTTGTAACCTGAAGGTCCTTGGTCCGATCCGTAGTGGAGTCAGGGATTCGCACTGCTGAAAAGTCTCAAAAATAAGATACAACGGCTAAGCAATCCTAAAGAATAGCGACCACGGAGTGTGAACGCATTAATAATGACCTTGAACGAATACCAATCATTAGATTACAGAACTTCCTGTTATTACGACGCTCAGAATGAAATCTGTGCAAGAAATGAGATGAAATTTCATCCTGATCTCGTTTTTAATTACTGTTTGGACTTTAGGTTTAGGATCAGTATTAAGGTTAGGGTTGTCATAAGGATTAGGATTAAGGTAGGTGCTAGGGTTAGGTTTAAGGTAAGGATTACAGTTCGAGTGTTTTATTACTGTTTGTATTTTTCTTGTAAATAAACAGCTTTCTATATAGAATACACGTCAGATTCTGTAATCCAACGAATAGTATACGTTCAAAATCATTGGTGAGTTCGCACTCTGTGGTCGGTATTCTTTATTGCTTCCAACAGCTGCCCATTGCTCCATAGTTCTCAATGATCTCTCTAAATGATGTTGGTTTTTAATGAGATCTACGTTAACATTGATCCAAATCCCTACGAAAACCCATAATCAAAGCATAATAATAATAATACTGATAGCAGTAATAATAGAGGTATATTAGTGTGTATATACTCTGTTTTCTTCATTCATACACTTGAAAGTATGTGTATTTCTCAGTCTATATTTATTACACTCGTAAGAACACTGTCTATACTGAAATAAACTGTCAGTCATTGTTCACGTATATATGTGCTTGCTTACTTACTTACTTACTTGCACACTGTATTGTATCCTCCATAACCATCATCACTGAATTGATAAAGTGTTGCTAGATTTCTCTTAATCTTAATGCGTGTTTTTTTTTATGTAGATCTTAGTAATTGAATTTTACAAATGAGTATGATCGCATATAAAAGCGTAAAGTAGTTAACTAAAACTCACTGATGACTGAGTAGTTTCAGCATAGGACTTTGCACAGAAGTGCAACAGTTCGAGTTGCCACACTCCATTTACCCCACAAAAGAAGATAAATGGAGGGGCAAAAAGGTATTCGAAAGACTGCTATTAAGCAAAAATGTGAGGGAGGAAGAATAGTTACAAGGTTTCTACTGAATACGGCTGATCATGAGAGAGTGAGTGTATCTGCGCCACTGAGAACAATTTTGAACCAGTAGTCACCAGCCACTGGTTCTTAGAATCCTGAAGACCCCAACCAGGAAGTCAGTCTACACCTCTCTACGTACTACCTACCTGGAACTAACTGTTTAGGATTTCTTGGACTGTTTCCAGGTTCTGATTTGACCACCCCTAACAGTGCCTGTCGAAGAAGTCGATGACCGGGTATGTGTAGCATATGTCTTCGCTATCTCAATCGATGTGGCTTCACAACTTCATATTCGCTGATGAGCAGTTATGGTGATTTATTATATGAAAGTGTTTATCTGGCGCTAGTAATGCTTGCATTCTACATAAAAGCAGACAGTATACAACTTCTGGCAGAAGTTACGATTCATGGATTATTGAATTTCTTCCCATCAGGCTTATTGTGAATGGGTTCCCGTAGCAACGTAGAAATATTTGTTTGATCCCTAGCGGGGTCATGGGTGCATACTATTGAAGAGTCTGAAACTAGGGCGAAATAGCCGTCCATCACTTTCTGGTTTTCAGTGGTCCCCTAATTGATGTTAGTTCACAACCTACTTTGTGAACTGTAAAAACGATTCTTTAACTTACACACTGTACAAATGAAGTGAAGAATAGTTTGAGCCAGTTGGCCTGATATTGGTGATGTTGCATTTTCCGAGCTGGATAGTTTAGTAGCGAAGATTTTAAATCAGTTTTAAACACCTGTAAGAAGTTTCGATTACAAGTGTTGCTAGCGTTTTATTCTAATTTCCATGGAAGTCACTAGTTGTTCATGAATTTGTGTTACACCGTCGTCTCTTTACATTCATTCTCATTAGCTCTCTGTCTTATTGATTTATGACTGCATTTTTGTTTTCTAAGAGTTAGTTTGTAGAGACTGGATTTGTTTCAAGTTTGACGACGGGTTGAGATCAGTTAGAGAACCAGTGAAAACTAGGGACAACTGTTTCATCCTAGTTTGCAACTTATCAGCAGTATGTACCTATCGGGGTTCGAACTCAGGACTTAGCTGGATGTCTGATGAAAAGTCGTGACCAGTGGGGTCCAACCAGTTGTGAACCGGGAAAAATACTCGTCGATGACATTAGTTGGTGGTTGCGCTAAATTGGGCCATTGAGTCGGGTCTCAATGGGTGAATGGTCTAGGAGCTTGCCTTGTTTTTTGATTGTTGGATAGATTATGTTGACGTTAATGTTACTGACTGATCTGCGTATCATTCTATCAAAAATTCTCCGGTGTTTTTCCTTTTCTCAAAGATTCATATAATCTGCATATTGAGATGTGCTGGACACACAGGTTTACAAACAATAAACCAGACACGCTAGTAGTGATTTACCCACTAGTCGATTAAGAAACACGAGGAATAATAATTATCTGAACAGAGCATATCTATATAGACAAGTATGATTGTGATCAGGAGGTTCGAAATGTGTTGCCTTCATACACTTGCCAGATGAATTATGTCATCCTATTGTCTTGTGTGAATAACCAGATAAATATAGATATAACCAGTCATATTAATCGGAACAAACTAAACTACTCAACTACTTGAAGAAATCTACATCGATTATTCCCCTCTGATACTACATGTCACAAAAGTATCAATCAAAGTCATAAAAATAAACATTAAGTTGCCATTGTGGTGAGAGCTGGCTGTTAGCCGAAAATTGGTGGACAGTAATTTATGTCAATGTTTATGTCCCCAATATTGGTCGTGAGAAAAATGAGAACAAAGGCTTTGCGTAGGCAGATACAGTTAGCATATAGGTGATCTGATATTCAAAAAACAGCCACAGAGAGGTGAAAGGTTAACTTTCTGTGATAAGCAACCAATCAGAAGACTGTGTTTTTCTGCTAACAATAATCTATAATAATGTACATGAAAATCTATAAATATGTGTTGATTTGGTAAATAAACGATCTGTTGCTTGGCCCTTGTCTTCTGTTGTTACACCATAATTTTAAGTTTCCAGTCCTCCTGTGTCCATAAACAAGACTACCCACAACAGTAAAGACAGATCTATATTCATCTTAGAATGTGGATACACAAATGTAAATAAATTCGCAATATATGTAACATAACAGGCAGGCAATGTCATAGTAGAGTAACTGATCTCTTACCTGACTTGGTGGACCCCTTTGGTTACGACTTCTCATTACAATTTTTAGTAACTTTCTGTATAGAGCCAGCTGTTAGTGTGCATCAAATTAATTTTCGAGTGTTTGTTTGCAAGGAAGATGACAGTTAGTCACCGATAACACTGACTGTTGGTTGCGTTACGTATGTCGGGAATTGGCAGAAGTTGGAATTCATGGACCACTGGACCGGGTCCCAGTGGCTGAATGGTCTGAGAATTCGCCTTATAATAGAACCCTGGTGGATGAATACAGCCGATGAGCCCCAAACTGGGACGAAACAGCTGTCCAATAGTCTAAGGTTTTCTAATGATTCCTTAACTGATGTCCGCTAGTGATCAAACCTGTAAAATAATATGAAATGGTTAAACGTATGGTGAATGATTCGACACATACATATAAACATACACAGATATTATTTATCATTGTGTGCTAACACTCATTACAAATTTATTACTTATTGTAATAAATTCTTCCACAATTTTTTAAACATCTCAGTGACATACTTTTAGTTGTTTTTTTTTCATTGCATTTTTTCCCAGAATATAAAAAGGAAGATGTTACCTAGAGAGTGTTTAGAAATAGACTACATTGCTGATGTGTTTTTTTTGTGTGTGCGTTTTAAATATGCAAAAATGTGTCACTTTAGATCTGTGGAACGCATTTATTAATGTGTAATGTGATAATTTTTGCTCACATGCTTTCTTTTATCTTCATAATTTCGGTAAAAAAATATTTCGCCTACTTCAACTAAGTGCTGAATTCCGTTGTAAAAATGTTGAAATAGCACATATGATGCACAGTTAGATAACGCTTATACCATGCTTGATTTGAAGGTTCCTGTGAATTAGGCGATAATTATCCTTATGTTGTAAACGCATTTTGTTTTTGATACAACTCCCATCTGGTTATTTTTTGATTGTATGGAGGATTTCACCATGAGCTGACAATCAGTTAGAGAACCACTGGAAAGCCTGGGAATACTGGATAGCTGTTTCGTCCTAGTTTGGGACTCTTCAGCAGTACGCACCCGCTGGGGTTCGAACCCAGAACCTTCTGGTTACAAGGCGAGCTCGTAGACTATTCAGCCACTGGGACCCGATCCAATGGTTCTTGAATTCTAGCTTCTGCCAGTTCACGACATAGCGCGACCACTTCGCAATGTCTTCTTCGATGAGTCATAGCCCCATCTTATTTTTTCTTTTGAGTAGTTAGTATTTAATTAGTTTATATCAATAGTTAAGTGATAGCTATAATATAGACGACGAACAATGTTAGCTGGCATAGGACTGGATTCTTTGGTTCGACAACAGTAACTAGTGTGATGTGTCTAGTCCTTTCTTTGGTGATAACATCTCTGATTACAGCACTGGGTGACACGGATTCGAATCTCAGAAGGGAGATGAGTTCCTTCAAGGTTGCAGATACTCCTTGCTGACGAGTGCCAACTAGCACGAAACTTAGGTTCAAGGCTTCCCCTGCTGATTGCCTCCAACCATCTAATATCATAGGAGAGGTTTGGAAAAAAATTAAGGATGGTTAAACCAAAACCTGGAATTCGTCCATGAAGTTTTTGACAGTTAGTTTGAAGCAGCCATCTAGAGAGGTGTAGACGACCAGGTTGGGATCTTCTGGATTCTAAGAACTAATGGATAGAGACTATTGGCGATATAGCTCAGAATCGTTCTAAATAGTGCAGATGCCTTCACTTTCTATGCTCTCGGATATCTGTTAATCCCTAGTGTTTTTCTACGTTACTATTCTTTCTGCCTTTTATTTCCGTTCATTATACTTCTTCTGAACCTCGTTTTTTCCTCTCATTTCTCTGCCTTTATGTGCTAGATAGAGGGAGTGTGGCAACTTGAAATGCTGCATTTCTGTGCAAAGTTCCATCTTGAAGCTCAGTCAGTCAGTCACCACATAGAAATTGTGTATCAGGTTTTTACATGTTAATGATCAAACTCTCTAGCTTAGCTACAGAGATTATTTTTTAGGATCAGAAAGACTAACCGAACCAAACAAAACCACAAACCAGAGAACGGAAATGAGGTGCTTTTGAGCATCCTCATTTATGTTCTGTTCTCTCACTCTCCAAAAAATTACTTAAAAAGGGTTGATTTAGTTCAGAGAGCTGTTAACGCTTTTCATACAGCCTTCTATCTGTTTCATTAAGATTGGATAAGCAAAGTTGCATCTCTATAAAGATCACCCGTCTTGAAAGTTTTTTTGTGATTGGTTACAAAGCGAGAAAAGAACAGACAGCTCAGCAAGGATATCCTTTCTGGTGATTCCATCCTCAAAAGCAGCTGTAAAATCGCATTTTATACGCATCAATTTACACTTACATTCTCATTCATCACACCTGTCTTTGTTAAGAACTATTTTATATATTATGCAACTATTTTCTAATCCTGTGTAATTTTGTTTCTATGCCCGCTGTGATTTAGATTCACACCTTCAAACTGTCATGTCAAATTGAAAATTATTATCACCTTTTAATCTTCTCTCATTATAATATTGAATTAAATAATAATTGCAACTTAGTAAGCTGATGTATAAAAACGCTATTGTACAGCTGCTTTTTGAGAATGAAATTACCGAAAAGAAATCTTTGCTAAGTTTTTTGTTCTTTTCTCTCTGATGTCTTGATGGGTATTTATCACGCACACACACAAACACATCTGGGTATTTATCATCATCAGGAGTACCAGCTGGGTATCAGATTCAATGGTAATAGGTAATTGTAAAGTATGCAGCGCTTTCATTTATTCATTGGCTCACAAACCGATGTATTCACTGTTAATCCCCTATATTTTTTCTTTTTATTTATTTTTATACCCACCTACTTTTGCCACTATTATACGCTCTAAAGTTTTCTTAACTCCTTCCTTCTCAACCATTTCCAACCAATAAGGTCAATGGAATCATTTTTTTGCCCTCTAAAATTCCCGACGGACAGCTGTTACCGTGATGTGGTCGTAGGGTTTACATGTTACGATGACTCAACGAGCTGGAAATAATGTTGCTGTAGGTCTTACTTTGCCAGAAAGTTTTTTTAGACAGTGATTAGACTAAAAGCAGTTACCGTCATAGTGTTAGGTACTCACACTATGTTGGTGGGGGTCTGTGGGGGAAGTCGTAATACTGAGGAATAGACGTGTAACACCAGTAAGTTGTTTTCCTTGGATGACCAGCACGACAGATATGCTGCCTCCTCTCTCTGCAGAGACTGGCGGTTAGAAAAAGTCGATCCTGAATACTATACATCTCGATTTACCTTGTGGCTGCCTATAACCGGCAGTAAGATTCTAATATGGACACAAATCCGTGAACAGATTCAGGCAGGCTATGTGTAGCTGGCCTCAAGCAGTTGTCCCTTAGGCTCTGCAGTCACGTAACACTCATGCTGCTTCCATTTCTGGTACCGCAACAAGAAATTAACTTCCATGGTGTGGGCAGCCGATAAGTAACAACTGCCCACACAAATCCAAAAACCCATCTTCTAAAATCAAACTGATAGCTTTACCGGTGTTATTTGAGAAGTACCATCAGCCCCAACAAGTTGATCTCTGACGACATCTCAGCACGGATACAGAGGGCTAGTTTTGCATATGCCAGTTTACGCGATCTCCGGCGTAGACGTGATATCCGGCTATAGACCAAAGGAGGGGGGTGTACTGCTCAGAAGTCCACTCTGTCCTCCTTTATGGCTGGCTATGAGACCTGGCCATTCAGAGTGGAAGACATGGAAAGATTAGCTGTCTTTGATCCTAGTTGCCTGCGCTCTATCTCCCGAGTGAAGTGGTATAATAGAGTGAGCAATATTGAGGTGAGCGTCAAGTGCTAGGTAAGGAGGGGATATCAATCGACGAGGCTGTGAAATTATATCGACTAAAATGGTTAGGACATGTCTTACGCATGCCTAGGCTACCCATCGCCTTCCTCGACAATAGACAATGTTAGCTGACATAGGGTCAGGTTGGAAAAGAGCTGGCCAGTGGCGGTCAAACCAAAACATGGCACCAGTCAATGGAATCCACAACAGTTAGTTTAAGCCAGCCATGTAGGGATGTGTAGACTTCCTGGTTGGGGTCCTCGGGACAGTAAGAACCAATGAAGGCTGGAAACAATTGGTGATATGGCTCAAAATCGTTCTCGATGGCAGGTGCAGATGCATCCACTCCTTGTGATTTATGATTTCCAATGAAACTGTTTTGTTCTTCGTTATTAATATTCCTTTGTCTCACACCTCTGTTTACTGTCTCTATTATGCATTTCTTCTACTTTCTTCTCTGGCTTTGTGTGGTACATGGAGTGTGACGACTCGAACTGTCGCACATCGGTGCAAAGTTCTATGTCAAAAACAAACAGACAGACCGGTATTAGCCTCTTGTTAGACAGAAATATGCGGAATTTAAATCAACGTTTATGTGTTGTATTCTCTGTTATCACATTAATGAGCAATATCAAACAGTTACATTATAAATTACCTAAATATATTTCGATAATTACTTACGTCTAGACATTGTTGATTGCTCTTCGAAAATCGATTCATACACATAGTATGAGTATGCTAATGTATCTGTAGGCATTCATCACTCTAGTGTCGGGTATACAATTCTCAACCTTTTCCTTATCTAACTTTTTTTCCTTTTTGCAGGTTCAGATGTAACAACTATCGATGAAAATGATGTGGCGTGTGAAATTGAAATTCCTCATCAACCATTAGAAGATCATTGGGTAGAAGATTGCTATGTAAGTTTGTGTGTGTGTGTGTCATTTTATAAACTAAAGGAGTTCATTAAAAATATTGCAACGAAGCAAAATTTATTGTTGACTACAGAACAAGAATAATTAGAACGAAGAATTTTGATTTCAATAACGTTTTCTTCCGTCTCTACAGCTAGCTTTATTCTGGACAGTGTTTATATAGTGTACAAAACTTTTAGAGGAATCAAGTGCATGATATTTTCTCTTTGTACAGGATCTGGTCTGGAGGTCAGACCAATCCATTATGATATTTCTTCTTTAAATACTCAGAGAAATGCATGACATTTCGCTGACAGTCAATTTCAAAAAGTTCTGATTGACTGACTGGTTTCAGCATGGAACTTAGCACAGATGTGCATCAGTTGGAATCGCCGCACTTCACTCATTACACAAAGCCAGAGGAGAAGAAGAAAGTAGTAAAAAGAAACGTAAAATAGAGACAGTAAACGGAGATATAAGGCTAAAAGAATAGTAATAACGAGGAGCAATATAATTTCACAAGGAGTGGATGCATCTGCACCTGCCATCGAGAACGGTTTTGAGCCATATCACCAATTGTTTCCAGCCTTCATTGGTTTTTACCGTCCTGAAGACTCCAACCAGCCAGTCAGGAAGTCTACACCTTCCTACGTGGCTTAGACTAACTCTTGTGGATTTCATTGACTGGTGCCATGTTTTAGTTCGACCGCCACTGGCTAGATCTTTTCCAACCTGACCCTATGTTTGCTAACATTGTCTATTGTCAAGGAAGGCGATGGGTAGGCTAGGTATGCGTAAGACATGTCCTAACCATTTTAGTCGATGTAATTTCACAGCCTCGTCGATTGATTTCCCCTCCCACGTACCTAGCACTCGACGCATAACCTCAATATTGCTTACTCTGTTATACCATTTCACACAGGAGGTATAACTCAGGCACCTACTATCAAAAACAGCTAGTCTTTGCATGTCTTCCACTCTGAATGGCCAGGTCTCACAGCCAGCCATAAAGGAGGCCGGTGCGGACTGCTGGTAAAAAATAAATCTTGTGCACTGTGGTAGAGTATAATTCCATTATGGGTAAAATTTATTTTGATAAAGTGTCACTGTGTTTTACTGATGACGTTTCCAGCACAATGTTTTGCTCATAATCGTATCAGCACTCAGGGATGGTCATCTCATGTATTAGGATAATGTGCCATCGAGGTTAATACTTTTTCACGTGTTTAGTAGAAACTTGCGAATCTGTATTATCGTATATGTACAAGATGGAATAATACCCAGATATCAAGACTTATCACAAAGTGACTTCAATTAGAGAACCACTGAAAACCAGAGAGTACTGAACACCTGTTTCGTCGTTCTTGTTTGAGACTTTTCTGATTCATTCCACTAAGGAATTGATGAGCTATTGGATTCCATCCCAGTAGGTGAATAGTCTATGAACTCGCCTTGTAACCTGAAGGTCCTGGATTGAATACCTGGTGGAGTCGTAGGTATGTACTACTGAAAAGTTTCAAACAGAGACAAAACAACTGTCCAGTACTCCTCCGATGGTTCTCTAACTGATATCAGTTCGTGATCATTCTTGAAATCAATTAGATTCCTAAAAACTAATACTAAGAGAAAATATTCAGATAATTTTGATTATCGTTTAAATGCATATAAAATGATGGTTAGTCAATCAGATGATGAGATGAAAGGAGACAAAATAACTGAGTGAAGCATAATAATCTATGATAACCATAGGTTTCAAGGGTTGAGTTGTAGTCAGTTTTATTACAGTCAATATGAATACTATAGAAAAACAAATAGGATACGCTGGATATATTTTCGAGGGATGGCAAATAACGGCAATAATAACAAAATAGTAGTAATAAGGGTATGGGTGTAAATACAAAAGTACTTTTTTAAAATAATTAGTTCCATTTATGAATTTAACTAGACCAAGCAATAAGAAAACGTAATTTGTCTGAATCGTGTAGTGTTGTATTTGCGCGACACATTTCGAACAATCTGATCACACACGGACTTGTCAAGTTAAAAGGACAAATTGACGGTGAATATAACAATGAATATCACTAAATCAAATAACAGAGGTAATAATACATTTGTTATGGTATCAAAACGAAGTTTACCAAGGAAGGCCCCACCTCTTAACTCTTTATTAATTTCATATATATTCCTATGACAAGTCCGTGTGTGATCAGATTGTGCGGAATGTGTTGCGCAAATACACATTAAACGATTCAGACAAATTACATCTTCATATGGCTTTGAATGCATGGAGGTTTTCATTGTGAGCTGACATCAGTTAGAGAACCACTGGAAAACCTGGGAGTACTGGACAGCCTTGTCTAAAAGTACTTTTAGTTGTACGATTATCAAGTAACGAAGAATTTAACCAAGTGGGGGGGTATAGGGTTGCGTGAATACAATAACAATTGTGAGAAAAATACTACATTAAAGGTCACGAAATCGTATAAGATCTGACATAAAAGAGGAGTAAGGAAAATAATGGGATAGAGATTTAATAAAGGGTTTGTTGACTTTATTTTAGGTAGGTAAAACAGCCAGATACACGTCTTTTGGACACAACGATAAGGTCTTCTGGTATTTGGTCGCTGCTGATGGGAGATTGTAGTCGAGCTCCTCTTGATAAGTTATTGGAAATATGGTAACTCAGGGGAATGACTTGCATTTCAGTGATGGTCAGAGCTATGAGTGATCACTACTCCATCTTGTACATGTACTACAATGGAGATTTTGTGACGCAGGTCTAATATTACTTTTACTGGCTATTGTGTGCTTACATTACTAGATTTGTAACTGTAGTAGATAGAGCCTGAAGAAGACGTTGTGGAAATCAAAATTGTGTTTGTTCTAGTTATCTTTGTTCTAAATACTTTATACTTAGTTACGTATTGTGTGATACTAGGTGTCTACGTGTCTGCCTACATATGTTTATAATTAAGACTTGGTTTTGAAACCCATTTATTTACAATTTATATCGACTGTGATCGAACAATGCCATAGTAATTGGATATCGAGTAAGAAGTAGACATGCGTAAAATTTATTATATTTGTAAAATCTCAGTGAAATTGAAATAAATAATTTTAACTTTTCGTTTGGCAAACTAGTCGAAACTTTTTCAGGGAAATTACTCAAAGAACGAAATATTCCCATACTGAGTCATAAGAAAAGGCACAAACAGCGAAGAAAATTTTCTTTTCGACGATTCATTTTCATGAGCTGTACAATCGTAATTATAATTAAACACATAAGTTTTTGACCAATCAGATACTGGTAAACTTTGTCCTTGAAAATTCTGCTACATAGTGTGAGGTGTAAGAAGGGATGACTAATTGTAAGTTAGAAAGGAGACAGAAGTTGGCATGACCTAATAAGTGTGAGATAATGACTAATCAATAAGCTAGTGCAGAGTGGACAGGATCTAGTGGAAAGGTTATACAGTAGTTTTGTATAAGATCTGTGTGAAAAAGCAATGTTATTAATAAACAGTCATAGAGTAGTAATAAAATATGGATGGTGGGAATAGTAATAATAATAAAAGTATTAAGAACAGTAATAATAATAATAATAATAACAGTGAACTTACGTATTAAAAGAGAGGAGAAAAATTATAGTTAGAAATTTACTCTGGCCATGGTAGGGCTAGAGAATGTATGTATTGTTTTTGTATGCATAGGTCCGGTTTTATGTCACGAATAGCTAGTGCTTCGGCTATGTACAGATGTCGTATCCGGAGTCCTTTTGTACGATATTGAGGGACTCTGTGTACCACTGTGAAGCTTTCGTGTGGGGGTGCTCGATGTCCGGAGATAACAAGGTGTTCGAGGATTGAGCTGTTGGTATTCTTCTTTTCTCCTCTGGCTAACCAAGCTGGGCAGTGTTCCAGGATACGTTTGTGGACTTGACGTTGCGTACGGCCGATATACTTTGCTCCACACGAGCAAGTGAATTGATAAATACACATTGAAGTGGCCAAAGGCGGTATCTTGTCCTTAACGTTAGACTGGATTAACTGTCTGCAGGAGAATGTTATATGTAGAGTGGCTGTTGGGAATGTCTTCTTCAGACTTTTTGAAAGGCGGAAAGGGTTTTCACACAGATCTTATACAAAACTACTGTATAACCTTTCCACTAGTTCCTGTCCACTCTACACTAGCTTATTGATTAGTCATTATCTCACACTTATTAGGTCATGCCAACTTCTGTCTCCTTTCTAACTTACAATTAGTCATCCCTTCTTACACCTCACACTATGTAGCAGAATTTTCAAGGACAAAGTTTACCAGTATCTGATTGGTCAAAAACTTATGTGTTTAATTATAATTACGATTGTACAGCTCATGAAAATGAATCGTCGAAAAGAAAATTTTCTTCGCTGTTTGTGCCTTTTCTTATAAAATTACTCAAAATTAAAGAAGTTTACATTAGTAGATCACCCTTTTGTCTATTCACACTTTATCGTATGTTCTGATTGACTGCACACTTTTTTTATATACGTTCATTTGACAGTATTAAATAACGAACTATCACTCCATATTATAAATGTACCCCGATGCAGACAGTTTCTGATATAACTTTCAAATGCTTTTAATGGCTGGCTATAATATTCATGGATTATAACTAAAGAACCTGAAGAAGAATTTATCGAAAACAATTGTTTGCTCAAAATCATCTTGTTTTAATTTACCAAAATTAAAGTAACAGAGGTATATTATATATATGATAGAGTTCCTGTCTATGACATTAGTTGTTGGTTGCGCTAAAACCACAAATTGGTAAAAGTTGTAATTCATGGACCTTTGAATCGGATCTCAGTGGCTGAATGGTATACGAGTTTGCCTTGTAACTGGAAGGTCCTGGGTTCGAAACTCAATGGAATGAAACACTTGTCCATTGTTTCATGGTTTTTCAATGTTTTAATTGTTTTAAGTTTCTCTAATTGACATCAATCCGTGGTCTAACCTGTGTATCGGTGGCACAGCGGTTAGAACGCTCGCCAACCGGGGTTCGATTCTCGGCCGACATACACCTGATGTAAATGGTCGACCTGATAAATTTGGGCTACAAATGTCGCATACCGAAAATTCCATAATTGTTCCAAAATACTGTGGAATCAAGCAATAATAAAAATGTATACACATATAAAAGGACACATTTTGTTTTTAAAATCCCTGTTCGATCATGTGAGTCATGAATAGACATGAAAACAAAATAAACAAAATTGCATGAACTGTGATCAAAATATGACCACAGACATCTTATTAGTCCATTTTGTTATACACTGTAAATAGTGTGTACTTTTTCTACGAGTTCATCACGGATTGATATCAGTTAGAGAACCATGGAAAACCAGCATTGGAGTACTGGACAGCTGCTGTTTCATCCTAGTTTGGGAATCATCGGCAGTACGCACCCACTGGGATTCGACATTTCATTAGACATTAATGATCGTGTTTGAGTAAAGTTCATGGTCATGGATAACTGAACATGAAAAAAATATCTGTATACGATATCCAATGACGTCTGTGTGTGTGTGTGTGTGCATAGGAGAACAATTATATGTATCGTTTGTTAGCCTTTCCTTAAGAGGATACATAGAATCAGGAAAATACATTGAGAGTTAGGAATTAATGATACATATCTATTTTATTTATTAATCAAGATTTTTCAAGTATTGGTTTTTTTAGGGATTTAGTCTGATTAGTTTGAGGATTTCATCATGAGTTGACATCAGTTAGAGAATCATTGGAAAAACAACTGGGAGTAGTGGACTGCTGAAGACTCCCAAACTTGGACGAAATGGCCGTCCAGTACTCCTAGGTTTTCCAGTAGTTCTGTAACTAATGTCAGCTCATGATGAAATCCTTCAACCAATCAAGACTCGCCATACATCAGCTAACATCACACCGTCACGCCTGTATATATATATATATATATATATATATATATATATATATATATATATAACTAAAACCTTTCTGTAGACCATTGATTCTATCAGAGTCGATCTTGTGTCCCGTTTTTGTCGAATGTAGAGCAATCACTGATTTGTTTTCTAGCTTCTTCAAATCTGTAGAAGTCTTTGTAACGACCTTTATGTATTGTTTGCGCTTTCTTACATTTACCTTTCTGGAAGTTTCTCCTACATATACATACGCATAAATTATTTGATACACGAAATTTTGTTGGTTGTCTTCCTCTCCTTTATTCTTAACCTTCACTAGTGATGAGCGTAAGGTGTTCGTTACATAAAAATACGCTGTTACATCATAACTGTTATGATTAAGCTTGATTTCATCTAATGTTAATTTGAGATAGTGAATCCCTACAACAATAAACCAATTCTTAGAAGGAGATTTTCATAATTCCCTGTTGATCTCGTCTACCTCAGTAACCAGACGTTTGGTTCTTAGCCAATGTTACTTTGGTGGTAAAGTAATCTACCGAATTGTAATCCAGGTATCTGTCTGAATATGTAGGCCTTCTTAAGATATTGATCTTTAGTTTACCATTCGCTTGTCTTTTGACCAAACAGTCCATTATTACAATTATCACAAAAAGACAGTTAAGTCATGAGATTAGATCGGTAATAATAGAATAACCTATTCACAGTGGTGACAGGACTTCATTAAATTCATTACTCGAATTTCACTATGACAAACTTTTGTTTTTATCAATAATTAATTATATCATCTTGACTTCGTTTACATTCGTCACCGTTCAGGGCCACAAACTAAGACTATCAGAGCTGAAAGTCACTTGTACCTACTATCGACTTTGAGTACAACTAAATTCTGTTGAACTAAGTGATACTTAGACTAATACTCTTACGAAATGTAGAATATAAATTATACATTGGATATAGTTAGTAGTAACTAATGTCATACATCCAGTCTTTCGTGTATGGTGCAGACTATATTCTATCAGTTAGATGAGGGAATAGAAACATGATACAAGTTACATATTGTAACATAGTGTTCAATCAGTGTCCATTTCAGTCGTACAGGAGGCCAATCAGGAGCCTGAATAGCTCATTGGTAATGTCACTGACTGCAGCACTGTATGATGCGTGTTCGAATCTCAGAAGATATATGAGATGCTTCAAGACTGTAGATACGTCTTGCTGACTGATGAGTGCCAATAAGCACGAAACCTAAGTCCAAGGCATCCTACCGATTGCATCCAACCATCTAAAAAATAATATAAATCTAACGCTACACAGATCCAATCAGTTGTAATTATCATACTTATTAACAGAAACGTGTATTGCCGTTATTTAGCTATATGGAGAATGAAAACAATTTATACATCAAAGAGGCTCTTTTTTTAGCGAATTTTTATTATCAGGCCGTACAGTTGTATATATATATGATTTCTAAAAAATAATAATACGCAGTAGGAGAAAATCAAAGTTGAACATCAAACGTCTCACTTTGTTGCATGGTGTTTTGTTTCACTGGTAGTCTGATTAATTCTAATCCCACCCCACCCCTGCTCCCTAAAATGTATGCATTCCATGAACTCCTTTATGTATTACACATAGTTAATCTTATTGTCTGCTGTTTAACTACAGCCATAATCATAAATATTTTGTCCCGGTTCACATTATTATTTAAAAATATAATAATCATATATGTACAATTATAGAGCTTGATAATAAAAATTCTTTGAATCGTGTGTTTTACCGCTATAATGACCCAATTAATGTAACATGATAGCGGTGTGTAACTGTAATTGTAGCGACCAAACACTGACTCGTTGTTGATCTGAACACAAGAAACTGATCTTTACGTTCGACTGTATAGCTACTGACCAAAACTTCCTTGAGACACACATACACACACAATCATGAAACTCTTGAAAGATAGCAAAAAGACAGTTATTCATCGTAAAATCAATGTGGTACCATTCAACAAAACTCAAAATTGCCTCAGCGATGAATACCATTAGGCAGATATACAGTCTAAATAATATTTCAGTACAAAAATCAAGCACTGTAGAAGAAAGATTAGTTAATCAAAATGCAATCATGAGAAGTATCTGAGAATCGAGTAGAATATTCTTAACAAGGTGGGATCAAAACTCTGTCAACAATGACCACACACCACATATTCTGGTAATACAGTCCAAGGTCAGGATAACCTTGCCTTAGTCAAACAAAATCTCAGCTGTTAAACAACGTATTATCAATATCATGGTCACACAACGACAAAGAGAGACATTAAAATTAGAGATTAAATACGAACAGAGACAAATAATAGTGATCAAGTCAACAGATGATATGCAAATGTTGACATAATGATATACATTCTGGGAGAAAAAAGGATAATAATTACAAAGTTAGTTGAAACATCCAAATGAGCATCAATATCGTGATTCGACAGTTGAGGAGATAGTTATCAAATAATTATTACGTTACAGTAATATTTGCTTGAAATTTGCAAGTGAATTTATCAGTTCACAACCCGTTTATCCATTAATGATGTATATCCTTAAGTATTAAATGTAGTATTGTAGCTGTCTAACCTTTATCGGCGATCAGATTATCTCCAGTAACCTTGGTTCGATTAAACTGAACTTAGTGTAATAAGATATAGTGTAGATTTGAAATAGCGACCTATGCGAGTTACTGACTCAATGTTCCACTAACCAAAACATAGAATTTCTACTAATTCGTTAGATTGAAGTCTTCTTAAGTTCCTTTCATTATAAAAAGTATAAATATTCACTTCACTAATATTTTGTCTGTATTTCATTGTATGTGTGTGTGTGAATTCGTCCTGTATCTGAAAAGTACCCTTTATTACACAAATTTTTTGGACTTATCCTTTATTTAAAGCCAACAATCAGTAAAGCATTTGATTGAAGTCTTATTGAACAAAGTAAATCATGAATTTGTTTATACGTATATTTGGCAGATAGAATTTATAGTATTCTCTGGAAAACACCTTTATTTAGAATTCATTAGGGAGGCTGAGTATTGGTAGCATAACTTTTAATCAGATATCTTGTTGATTATACAGTATGCATACGTTGTCATTACTATTCCTTCCTTTCGTTCCTAGTAGAACATACGGCTTCAGTTTCTTTTATTCCTTTGGATTTTGAGTTAAACATAGGGCTTCGAGGCTTCAGTAGCATTTTGTGTTATTTTTTTTTAAGGGGAGTGGTTGCTAGCATCATGCAAAATCTTTTCCCTTTAAGGAGCCTACTATCGGCTAAGAGGGGTTAGAAGGGCATCGGCTGGGAATTGAACTCCGGACGATATGCTTGGTTTGCGAGGATTATACCACTAGACCACCTACAGTGTACTTTATTCTCAGCCGTCATTTTTAGCTGTTTCCACGGTTAGTCACACAGGCTTTCACTTCCTCTTCACATGATCTCCTCTATGTTGTCCTCTGACGCGCAACTCATCGCTTCTCATTTGTATTCCAATCGAACACCTCGCTTAAATGACTCTTCAGAGTATCTTCAATCTATCTCCATTGCCTTCTGCATATTTGTTGAGTAATAGGTTGTGTTGACTGGTCTGTCGCCAGAGTTTCTTTCGATTCAACCACCTGAATTTCAATATTGAAGTCAGTGAAGGCATTTTTTGGCGAAACTGTTGGAAGTGCTTTTTTGACACTCCAACCATGCCTTTGAATCACATTACATGCATACATCATATTCAGGTATAATTCATTTCAATAAACAAAAAATTATTATACCATGTTTCATCAGTTTTAATTTTTTTAATTTCTATTCCATTAGGCTACTGTTGTTCGTCATACACCTACAAGTACAAATGCAAGTACATCGACCGAGCATCCTACAACTATATTTATCCACAATAATAATAATAACAAGAATAACAGCAACAACAGTAGCAATAATAATAATAGTAATAGTAATAATATTACACACTGTACAATTAAAAAAGAAGCGGATACTTCTATTCAAGACGACCTGGACATATACAGTCCTCGAAAAGAGTATGCTAAAAAATCTGTAGACTCTAGGGTAAGTATATTATGATAATTTTGTTGTCATTAATGATGTTCCACACCCTATAATGTCTAGGCCCTTTTAAAAAGATATATATAGACACTTATTGGTAAGTTGGTAGCATACAGTGAATGTTATTTACTAAAGTATAGTTATTCACCCATAGAAAAACAAACCGTTGTTTTTAGTATTCAACAAAATTTATGCCTACAAAATTTAACCTGGATTATATTACTATTGTCATCAGCACTCCTCCCTTGGGTTCCTAGTGGGACAAAATATTTCCTTTTTATCCTGTTCTCTGCAGTTCTGTTTTAACCGGCTTCATTATTTCCCATAAGTTTTCATCTCTTCCTCACACGACCTACATGTCACTCTTGGACACACGCCCAACTCATCGTTACCCATTCAGGTTCCAATCAAGGACCAGCCTAGTGTGTAAAGTCACTCATCGTGTGTCCACTCCATCTCCATTCCATTCTTATATTAGTTAGGCGACAAGTTTTTGGTTGGTTGGTTCTCAGGACTCCTTGTTGCTTCATTGTCGAAATAACGTAGCTGTTGATAAAAATCTGCAACAGTCTGTTGGAAATGCTTTTCATAACGTGCTATGCCATTGGACACTTTGTCTATTTAATTATATGCTTCTTTAAATCACTAGATCTTTATTCTACTTACGGATCATAACTCTTTCTTCTTGTTTGTCTTTGGTTATTTATTTCTCCAAGTCTAATCCGGTTGAGGTTCTTAATATCAATGAAGAACTTCAGTGGCATACATACTTCGAAAGTAGTCACATTTTTATGATTAAAATTTTGAACGCTTTTAATCAATTTACATTATTTTTGCTTTATCTTTACGACTGTATGTGAACTGAGTAGTGGTCAAATGTTTTGAGGTAGGATAAAATAGCCACTCATTATCCTATGATTTTTTTATGGCTTTGTAATTGATTACAATCCATGAAGAAGTGATTTCTCTTGAATATGTCTCAGTAAATTACTACTGCGTTATAATTATTGTCAATATTACTATTATTATAGTTGTTAGAAGTTACAGTAAGTTTAATCTTTTAATGCGTCTTCTTTGAATCGATGGTAATTTAGTATCTTCCCTGTATAGTTTCTATCTTGGTTAGGCCTTTTGTCAGTAATTATTCGGAAAACTAATGATGTGTATTTGACAGAAATATTTTATATCATTTCTTTTGTTCGGTTGTAATGCTTGCATTATCTATTGTTATTGTTATTATTCCCTTTGGTTCCGAATGGAACAAAGGACTTCAGCAGAATATCTCCAGTTTGTCTTGTTCTCTTTAGTCCCCTTCAGCTGGCCTCATGATTGCTCATAGACCTTTGTCTCCTCCTCATACAATCTCTGCCGTGACACCCTTGGAAGCTCAACTCGTCATTTTCTAATCGGGCCTGGCGCGCGACGTCACACAACGGTCTCTTCGGCGTGTGTTAGATCCATCTCTTCCACACATTTGTTGGGCAGTAGGTTCTTGATTGCATCTTTTCCAGAGTTTCCTGTCACTATGTTTTTCTTGCCATCTGATGTTGATTAGGAAGCAAAGGTATCTGTTGATAAAAATCTGCTGAAGACTGTTAGAAATGCTTTTCTTATGACGTTGCATTGTCTACAGTGCTGGAGAAATATTCGTCTAACTATCAATAACAGTTCATTCTGTCACACAAATTAAGTACTCTAACAGGTGGTCAAGAATGATAAATGTAATAAACTATCTAACTGTTATATTAACATAAATTTTCGACATAAGTGTAGCAGTAATTTGAAGAAGCTAAAATGACAGAAGATTTATGAATGACAGAATAATTAGATAAAGATTAGTAACAAGTTTCAAAATCTGCAACAGTCGTCTTCAACCATTCACTCCTAACATTCTAAGAACACTAGTTAGATATGACTTGTGAAGTCCTTAACTGTTGGCCTGAGGAGTGTAAGCAAGAGTAAGTTTTCTGTCCAGCATCCTTGACTATTGTCTGTCTTTCTGACTCAAACAGGAGTCATGCTTACCTATTCTAGCCTCACTATATATCTGTTATTTTCTTTTAATGTATACTGTTGCATAGCATCACACATCTTGCAGCTGGTTCACTTCTAGGCGATATTCCGGCTGAAATATTTTTCCCTTATGTTCACTATTCTAATGTTTTGACCGTTAGAAGTCTCCTTTTCAACAGGCATAGTTATGAATTGATATAGACTATTTGTAGTTAGGGTTCTAGCTGCTTGTAGGAAGAATAATAATAACCTTATTCTTAACAGTGGTTAATATGATGTACAGAATTTTCAGTGGAAATCATCACATAATAGTTTCTTTTTGTCCCAGATATTCGTGTAAAATAGTAATTGACACAGTAGAGATTGTGTGACATATTGTCGTCTGACCTGAAGCACAAAACCAATCGCTTGTGATATTTCTTCTTTGCCTTCCTCAACAAATGCACAATATTCGATTAAAAATATTAAATATTTCCATAGTAAAATTTAGAACAACAGATTTAAGCGAACTATATTGTCTGCAATCAGATCTTATCAGGCCTAACTCTAATATACATAACTTTACAAATAAATATTCATATATAAACCGACCCGGAAGGCGCTAGATAACCGAGAATTCTTGCTGTGGTTTTATTGAGTGTCCAGTATCTACCATGTGGGCCAAGACCGCACTATTTCTGCCCTTACTGATGATTTATTTAGTCTTTAACAATTTGAGATAGCCTTGGATCAGTAGGCTACCATGTTAATATTAATGAGTGAAAATTTAGGATAAAATGAAAACGCAGATCGTGATAAGATTATTCGTTCAGAGCTCTGCCGGTTGAGCTATATGACTCAACTACTAACGAGGTCGTCATTTTGACTAAAGTCGTCAGCAGAGTGAATGTTACGTAACTGTCCATCTACTACTTTACTAGCTGCCCAGCTAGGTTTCATCTGGTCAACTGTCAATCAGTCAGTTACGTTTCAAGGGGCACAAAAGGTTTCAAGCTTTGAAGTCTCAGTAGTGTTTGTTTTGTTTTCACAATGTGAGTTTGCTAGTCTCACACACCCCGAACTTTCTCCTTTTCCGGGCTCAACTATCTGCTGAGCGAGGTTTAGGAGTGCATCGGTTGAGAATCGAACCTCGCACCAGGTGCTTGGCTGGAGAGCATTCCTACTCCTAAACTACCCATACACTCTGATCAATTCTGAGCCTACTGTGAACTAGTAATTAGATAAATTCTTCAAGTCTTTACCAATTTTATGTCATTCAATGGAGACGCAAAATTAATGCATACATAACTGCTTTCTGTTAAATAATAATTGATGGTGACACTATCTAAGAGTGTTGGGTGGATAGACTGTTAATGATTTAGTAGATAATAAGTGAGTGTGAGACGACAGGACTGACTTGTGTTACCGGGGCACATTCTTGTTGTTGATTTAGAGTATGCGGATGATACTCTCCTTCTCCTAGGTGAAGGCTATGATAAAATGCAGAGTCTTCTGGCACACCTTTGACAGAAATCTTCGAATGCTTAATATGAGATTTGCTCCCGCCGTCAATTGTAAGATGATGCTGCAGGACTGGTTTGCATTGAATCTCAGCTTAAAGAGATACGGAGTGAAGTGGTAGAGCGTGTTGACTACTTCACTTATTTAGGAACCTGTATAAGCCCCAATAAACTGACTGATACCGAAATCTCCGCACGGATACAAAAGATTCATTCGGTATTTGCCAACCTACGTCATCTCTGGCGTAGACGTGATATACGGCTAGCTATCGATCAAGGAATGTACGAACTGTGCAGAAGTTCGCTATGTCCTCTTTTATGGCCGTACAACATGTCCATTTGGAGTGGAAGACACGAAAATGCTATCTGTCTTTGGTCACAGATGTTTGCGTTCTATCTCCCATGTTAGGTAGTGTAATAAGGTGAATAATGTTCTGCCTAGTTGTAGAGTGTTGGAAACGGAGAGGGGAGCAAATCAATTGATAAGGTTGTGATGTTGCATTGATTGAGTGGCTAGGAAACGTGTTGTGCACTCCGAGCTACTACCTTCCTCGATGAAAAGTTTTAGCTGATTTCGGGTTAGGTTGAAAAGGGGTCAGGGGTGGTTAAACCAAAACCTGGAGTCATTCCAAGAAATCTGAAACAGTTAGTTCCATCCAGGCACGTAGGGAGGTGTGGACTGTCTGGTTTAGGTCTTCGGATGGTGAAAACCAATATCTGGAGACAATTAGTGATATTGGCTCAAAATTGTTCTCAGTGGCTCAGACGCATTCACTCTTTGTTCTAGTCTCTTGTGTTGGTTAAACCGTCATGTTCTCTCCATGTTGCCATTCTTTTGCCTTCGTAGTTCTGTTTATGATAGTCCTTTTGAATCTCCTTTTCTCTCTCTTTTTTCTCTGCCTTTGGGTGCCACATGAAGTACGATAACTTGAAGCTATGTACTTCTGTGCACAGTTCTAAATTGAAACTCAGTCAGTTAGTCGGTCAAATAGGGTTGTAGCAGTGTAAAATACTATAAAGCCTAAATGACATCATCAAGCTGTTAGTCAGTTGACTTTAAACATTTCAAAACAAAAAGACGAAGTGTTACAAATAACTTCAAAATCCTATCAGTCTTCAACTGGTGGCGATTATTTTGTGTAAGGATAGACAGTTTCATTGGTTCGCCAAATGATATCATTTCGTGATCAAACAAATCAAATCCCTACAAACTAACTATTTAAAAATTATTCTGATACTCTGTAGTGACAGGCCAAAGGTCACGGAGTTGCCTGGAATTCTAGTGAGACATCATGACCAGCTGGGTTCATCCGTTCGGGAACGAAAATGAGTACTCGCCGATGATATTGTTTGGGGTCTGTTGTCCTAAAATCATGAATTGCTAGAAGATAGAATCCATCGCCATTAGATCGGGTCCCAGTGTGGTTGAATGGGCTACAAGCTTTCCTTATAACTGAAAGTTGCTGAACTCGAAGCCCTATGGTAAGTGCT